CTGAAATTTCGCGCGCTCAGGAACGGCGAAATTACAAGTGATATAAAAAGAACGATATTCATAGGAGCACTTATATCACTTGTCATTTCGCCGTTCCTGAGCGCGCGAAATTTCAGCCCTATCATTTGTGGAAAATAATCGCTTCTAATTTAAAAACTATTATAGCCTCGACACTTTTGTATTAGGATTTTCGTCTGGAAATGTTCTAAGGAATCTGTCAATAAGAGGACCTCCGGTGGTTTTAGGACACCCTGTACATGTGCATTGTACACAGATTTTATTTCACACGGCGAACAAAAGAATCTTGCATGCCGCAGAGCAAAGGATTTGCGAAGCCGCGCCTGTGACGCTCCCGCGTTTCGGCGAGTCCGCGCCAGAGTTTTAAACATTGTTGTCAGTAGCGATTACATTGGCTGATCAGAACAAGCGCTCGACCATTGTCGCACTCTGTATATACACATAAATATTATATACGAATGTTATGCATGCATACGCAGGATTGTTGAAGAAAGGCGTTTTACGAGTAATTATTCGCCGTGGGTAATGTACCTGGTGCTCGCGGAAATTCAACGACCTCCGTTTCGTTGCCCTCGTCTTTTCCCGCGTATTCAATTGATTTTACTCTACCTGTTCGATCATTCGACGTCGAGCCGACTATTTTACGATATCGACGCGACCGACATGACTTGTCTGAAAGAATGATTTCGAAATACGGCTTTGTATTCTCGGTATACTCAATTTTGATACGATAAACGGCAGCCCTGGCGAAAATTTTAAGTGACAGATGATGTTTATATTATTTATGAAGAGTTTGATCGATAGTTACATTGTTTATGAAGAGTTTTATTGATGATTACACCGTTTGGAAGTATGTTGCAAACACCTGGTTAATTCTTTGCTGACAATAACATTTTACAAACACTTAGAAAACTATTATGGAAACGTTTGACATTATATCATTAAACGCAATTTGAACATTTGTAACCTTAAATGTGTTATAAACAACTCCATGTTTAAATTTATATCTCACAAGCAATTCAATAAATGTTTTAAAACTCAAATAAAACATTGACTCAACATTTAAACAAACTTCTTACAAACATATTATTTTTGCCAGGGAGGTGTCTCAGGCCCGGTTTCGCCAGCGTTGTTTAACTTTAAGCTTAGCTTAATTCGTTCTTTATCTCTTTCCAACTGTTACTTTGGAAAGAGATAAACGTGAATTAAACCAAGATCAAAGTTGAGCGACGTTTGGTGAAACCGGGCCTCGTAATTTGCCTAAAACCGGCTTGAAATTATCAACGGCCGACGGTCGCGTGGCCGAATTGCAAGGATGGATATCGAGCTGCCTTTAAGTCTTTTTTCCTCTCCCGCGAAAGAAACCGGATAAATGTTCGTTGTTCCGTTCTCGAGACGTTGGAACGTCCGTAAAGAGTTTATCCGTAACTGTTAACCGCCGCGCTTCTTCTGGCAATCCCGTATGTGTCTGTCGAATCGGGAAAAGGAAGCAACATTGGTCAACGTTGACGATCAGTAAACCCGTAAAGACTAGCTCGCGATCAAACGACTTGTGCATTTAAGCAACATTTAACTTCAACCGCGTGTTAACAAATCCCGGCCCGAGGTAAACCTCGCGGTCCCATTTTTCGAGAGACGTGGCAGGTTTTTTTTTCTCCCCCCCCCCTCTCCCCCCTGTAAGGCTCAAGCACACGAGGTACACACTTTGATTCGACGATTTCTCAAGTATTCTATTTGACACCATATCGCGAACATTTAATGTTGTTATGATTGTATTAACGCCATTAACGACTTACAATTAAATAAATCATGTATGGGGATGTAACACACGTTTAATAAATACTTTTTTGCAAATCAGCCTGCGCCGCTGTCATACGTCATCCGTCTTTATGCGACTCACTGTGTGCGTATAAGAAACGCATAAATTATCGATATGATTTCTATGTAAACATTTTCTCCGCACGGAAAAAAACATTTAGCTGCTGTAGCTAAATCTTAGTAAAATATGGACAGCTAATATTTTTAGTTGTGATAGCTCAATATTTACAATAGGCACATGTGCCTATTGTATTTATAGGTGCGACAGCAAACGGTTTGCTGTCGTAGCCAAATATTGAGCTATCACAACTAAAAATATTAGCTGTCCATATTTTACTAAGTTTTAGCTACAGCAGCTAAATGTTTTTTTCCGTGCGCGATTCAGCGTAATCGATATGCTAGATCCTGACGGTTCTCTCATACATTCGTAGTAATGTTAATCTATTGATCATGTAAAACATTAATAAAGTAATTTCAGTCAATATTCATGTCGCGCTTGCACCCTTTTTTTTAGGATATTTTCATTCGCACTCGTGTCTTAATGTGTACTTTTTTAATTGTACGCACCGATTGTTATATGTCTCACAATATAATGCCATTGTGACTTCGATCAATTTTTCTATTGACCGACTTGTCGAGTAATGCGTACAACATTTTGTATTATATTTTGTTAACGCGGACTAATTTTTCGTCTGACTTGTCAAAGGAAAGATTAAATCTGGACGAGACAAGTAGAAACTTCGCTGCGAGCGACAAATTAACCGATGCGATTGACTTGCAAGTGCCATTTATATAATTTTGTTTAACACGGACGGAATTATTAGTTTTTCGTTGCGCGACTCGTGAGAGGAAAGATAGAATTTGGACGAGTCAAGTAGAAATTTTGCTGCGAGCGATTGACCTGCAAGTGCTGTTTATATAATTTTGTTTAACACGAACGGAATTATTAATGTTTCGTTGCGCGACTCGTGAAAGGAAAGGTTGAATTTGGACGACGAGTCAAGCAGAAATTTTGCTGCGTGCGACAAATTAACCGATGCGATTGACTTGCAAGTGCTATTTATATCATTTTGTTTAACACGGACAGAGTTTTCAGAAGATTTTACCGCACATTCTACTAAGAAAATGTATAAACTAACCCAGATAGCACAAGACGCTCCTGTGAACATTTTAAGAATATTCTTCAAGAATATTTGAAATATTCCATAGGTCATTTTATATTTATCTTATGTTCGTGGAACATTCGACTGGCACTATAAATCTTTGTCGAATGTGAATAGAATAATCTATCGAATATTCGGTTATACAGGTTTCGCTGCCTTTTACTTAAGATAAGCGTATTACACAATAAACAATGTGCAATACATAAACTCGATGAATATTAAAAATTGTATTGATTTGTGAATATTAAAAAGTTATTCTGAACGAATGTTCCGAAGATATTCTCGGCGAATATTCGAAAAACGTTCTTCTTTGTTGTGAATATACGATTCTAATTGTATACGATTTTTAATTGTAATAATCTATATGTATATATATATTTATAGAATATTCGATTGGAATATTCTGAAATTAAGAATATTTGCACTCCAGAAGGATATTCATAGAACTATGGGTGCTATCTGGGAAGTGTACTTACTAGTAAAGCGTATGGTAAAAATTTCAAAAAGCTTTCATAAAATCCTTCGAAATGCCACGATTGCATGACTCAGGATTTTTCGGAAAAGATTCTCTCCGTGTACTGTGGGCGACCGCGCCGATAGAACTGATCAAGTTAAAGCCCGTATCAGACTACGGATCGAGATTGAGATTAGATGGAACTTTGACCAATTAGAGTTAAAGTTACCAAACTTGAGATTAGTAAACTTTACTGTGATTCATCAAATTTAAATCTAATCTCAATCTCAATCCGTAGACTCGGCCGTGGTCGCCCCTGGCTGTCATCGGGTGTACACACGTCCCTGGATCCCGGGCGCGGGCCCTCGGCTCGACGCGGTACGGCGCTGGCCTGGAGACGTTCGTGCTGGCTCGTGCCGACCGACAAAGACGGTGACGACGACGACTGTGACGGCGAGCGAGCGCTCGCTCCGTTCTCGCGACAAGCGGGGAAAAAAAGAGAGAGGAGAGAGAGAGGATGCACCGCCGCGCTTCCTTCGCGCCGTGAATCCCCGCGGCGCGCGCGGGCGGCCGTGCACCCGCGTGCGATTAATCGTCAGGCCGTCTCGCGGCCCCGTCACCGTCGCGTCGCGCATCTGCTCGTCTGCACTCGCACACGTCGCGGACGCCGTAGGAAGGAAAGGGGTTATGAGGCGCCAACGGCACCGTCGTGGTCGCGCTGTCAGACGATATTTTTCCATTCTTACCGAGACCGTACGCGGCCTGGCGGCTCACCATGGCGGAGAAGTGCAAGGTACGTGTCAAGGGCTCGCGAGCGAGAGTCGACGACGGCGACGACTGGCTCGCGGAGCGGGGCTTCCGCCAACGTGGCGACGGACAGCTGACTACGGACGGACGGACGGCCCGCGAGGATCTCGTCTCCCCCGCGGGATAAACGGGACGTCCAGGTCGAGGACCCTCGGCGAGCCCACCGCTCGGTCTCGCGTACGTCGCCGCCCTCGAGCGAGGTCTGTCGACGCGCGACCTGCACACGTGTAGACGCATCTCTTCCGTCTGTTTAGCGTCCTCGCTTTCACGTTTCTCTCGTGCGTTTTACTTCAAGTGTACCGAGTAGATGAAGGGATTGACAGAGCTGTATAGATGTTCACGTCTTCTCTGGCGAGAGAGGCCTGGAGTAATTTTTTAACAGTTCGTATCGATTTGCGCCGTGTAACGCAGGTGAATAGCCGACTTGCACTTGAGCGAGAACGTAATTGAATGGTAATTTACAATGTGACTGCCCCCGTTCGGTGTACAGTCTTGATATTTATACTTTGTAGTGTCGAGCGCCCCGTTTGCTAATTAATGACTTTGTTGCAAGAGCAATAACTGCGCGCACTCGTGGACTTATCGAGCAATGTCGATACAGGAATGCGGCTGTAAGTGCGGCACCTGCGGCCAGGACAGTCAGCAGCACTGCGACATGCATCTGCACGCGGAGATAGAGAACCTGCGCCAGCGGCTGCTCGAGAGGGACAACCACATCGTGACGATGGAGACGCAGTTCCTGAACGAGGCCGACAAGTTCCCGAACGGGGAGCTGGCCTCCATGAAGGAGGAGCTGTCGATTTGGCAGGAGAAGTACTCGCGCCTGCACGAGGCGCACAAGAGGGTGCAGAAGGTCAATCAGAATCTGGAGGACAAGCTGCTGCGGATAGTGGACAAGTGCGAGACGGAGAAGAGTGCCTTCACCAAGGACATAGCGACTCTGTCTCACAGATTAGCCGATGCGAATTACACGATACATCGATTAACTCAAGATAATGTAAGCGCGTCCCGTTTTCACATGCGCACATTCCAGAGTACTTACATTTCGTCACGTCCCTCCGTTTCCTTTGCCAAGCTTTGTTTTATTGTAAGAGGCTACGTAGGCAATTGAGTCGCGTCTACGTAGATTTTGTACGAGAAATACTTCATGCATTCTTTTCTTCCTTTTAGGAAAAGTATAGAAACGACGTTAGTTTGGCTATCCAATTGCTTCAGTGCAAGCCTTCCAACTTCGTGGGTCAGAAATACGATTCGGTAAGGCGCCATTTCGTCAGGTATCGTCACGCCGCCATTTACTTGAAAGTTATAACGCGACGAAGCTTCCTCTCGCCCGTTTGTTCATCGTCCACCGCATTCCACTTTGGTCTCCATGTAAATTTTATACGCGCTGGTATTACTGAACTTGAATGTTACAATGACATTTTGCTCGTATTTATATACCGTCGCGTCAGCGCCTTATTTTTATTTTACGCACCAACGACCTTACACACGCGCGCGCGCATAAACTTTCATATTGTTTATATTTACATCTTTGGCGAGTACGTTAAGAGCAAGTTGCGATAGAAAAACTCGATACTTCTGTGATAAAATTCAAGTTACTGTAAATTTGTTGGGAAATTTCTATGACGTGGCGGATTGACTGTCCCTGGCTTTTGTCTTTGTGCGTACTTTAGTCGCGTGGAAGAATTTTGCAACTTTATAAAACCAATTTCAAATTTAACACGAACGAAATACAAATTGAAAATTTCACATACGATTTTTTTTTTTTATTAGACTTCCGAACCGATTGCGGGTGTTTTAAGTATGAAAAGGTTCTGCTATGCGGACCATAACTTATCCTGGTATTACTTTGTGCATAAAAGCCAATGAAAAAGATTTACAAGCGTAAAAACTATATTTGTTGGTAAAAATGATGGCTAAAGGATCCTCTTAGGTAGCATTTAAACTTGTTATTTGCGCAACGAGGATGAGAAGTTTCACTGTTATTCTCTTATTCTCTTACTATTACAGCTGCCTTCCGAGGTGCAGGCTAAAGTGCGGACGTACGTCGCGCAGAAGCGGTGTCCCGCGCAGGACACGGCGCAGCCGGATGTGAAGAGCATCACCGTGCCGATATCCACGTTTCCGCCGACGGCGATGGTGTACAATATCACCAAGCCTACGGTGGAGAAGCACAGCGACGATGACAGCGACGACAGCAAGCCGCCCATGGATATGGTGTCGGCGGCGATTATGGCGAAGGTGCTGGAGGACCGCGAGAAAGAGAGAATCTTCGCCAAGCACTGCGACACGTGCACGTGTCACAGAAGCATCCTCACGGTGGACACGGAGACGCAGACGTACGTGCCCGACACGTTCCCGATCTCCGACAATTATACGTACAGCTTCGAGAAGCAGGCGTCGGAGGGTAAGCCGAGCGACGACAAGTATCAGAGCAAGGACAAGCTCCAGTCGAGTATCGCGACGCATACGGTCTTCTACGAGATCAACGAGAACGGCAACAAGATTCGCCATCACATGAACGGCGATTACGTCAAATACGCCTCGCAGGTGCCGTGCATCAAGGACAAGTTCGTCGGCAGGAGCAGTAGAAACGGGCAGGACTACACGGTGGAGGAGAACGGCGTCGCTACGAGAGCCAGTCTGAACAAGAAGAACTCGTCGCAGAATCACGAAAACAAGCACTCGTCGTCGTTCTCGAGATTAAACGACCTTAACAGAATAAACGTCGACAAGACGACCAAACCGCTCAGGGCCAACAAGTGCGAGTCTCCGCTCGATAACAGATCCGCCAAGTATTGGAGCAAGAGCGAGAGGAGCTACTACGAACCTCTCGGTAGCGATTACTTGGCGCGCGGGGACAATCGGCTCTCCGACAAGGAGCAGATGCACATCGACATCATCAACGACAGGCTGTGGAAGAACGAGTGGACGAGGCTCAAGTCCGAGACCAACTCCTCGAGGGAGAACGGGTGCAAGGCGAGTCGCGGTATCGAGCTCGATATAATCAACGATCGCGATTGGAAGAACGACAGGTCGGCGGAGCGGCAAGACGCGCGGAACGCTGCGCAGTTCACTGTGATCGAGGTCAAGAGTCCGGACGGCAACGCGGCGAATAACAACGACGGTAGTCAGACGGAGGTGACGACCAGCCCGAGCTTCAGCAGCGACAGCATGGTCATCTCCAGCTCTGATCCGTCCAGCAGCTGCAGTGACGTCGCGCAATCGCTGACCGGCGGTGCCTTCAATTCGAGCGTAAAGTCCAACTCGAATCAGGATCGCGTGACCGGTCCGCGAAACTGCCTGGTCCGGGTCACGCCCGGCTCCAAGAATATCCTGCTGGACAACGCCGGTCACTACAAGACCGTATTGTATAGCAATGGCAGTGGTAGTGGCGGCGGCGGCGGCGGCGGCGGTAGTGGCGGCGGTGGTGGCAGCGGTAAAGTCAACACCGCCCTGGTGCACGCGAAGAAGACGTCTCGAGCCGGTTCCGAGCGTTCGACCGGCAGCGAGGACAATTCGCCGCCGCCGGTGTTGCTGCAGGACAATCAACTGCAACGAGTGGCCGAATGGGTGCAGTCGTCGATGTGCGTGGAGAATTCCGCGTCGCACGATAGCAATAAGAGCAAGTGCACGGAGAACGTTGCGAGTGACAATTTGTCGTCCGTGTATCCGAACGATTCTCTTGTTAAGCGCAAATCCGCAGAGCACAACGGAGGTCTGACACGCGACGTTCGAGACGTGGCGAAGAACGTCGAGGATTACAGCGAGAGGGATGTAAATAACGAGCTCGTTGACACCAACATCTTGTCCGAACGTACGGACGAGAGCGAAAATCTCATAACGTTCGAGGACGAGCATCTGCTGAAGGATTTCCCCCAGGATCTTGATTACGAGGTGAAGATCACGAAGGAGATGGAGGAGACGTATCTGAAGCTGGCGGCGAGCCTGGACCCGGTGACCCTGAGCCTGTCGAGTACCAGTAATGCCGAATTGACGATCGAGAAGTACAGGAAGGATCACAAGAAGCTTCACACGCAGAGACTTCAAGATAAGGCGGGATCAAAAGCTTAACGCGTATCTCAGCGAATTCTTCGAAGACAATTGAACTATATCAAGCAGGGAGTTCCTTTAAAGATATAAACAGAGCGTTATTTTTTGTAACTATATTGAAGTAAGGCTGTACCAACACGAAGTAGTATAGGGAAAAGAATTCCTACGTGCCGCTGCAGGTGAATCGGTTTGCGTTTGCGTCCGCGAGCGAGATGCGGTAGGTTGATTTTAAAGCGGGAGGAAATTTAACCGGAGGTAAAATTAAATGCAACACGGTAGTCCGGTCGTAAAGCGTCAATTACGTAATTAATAATTTACAGTAACTTTGGATCAACGACACTGAGTCACGCAGGAAATTGCCGTTATTTTAAGATACGATTGCGCTTCTTATCAACAATCTATATTTCGCAGTCACGAAAACAAGATTATCTCAACCTCATTTGTGACTCTCTGCCTGTTTATTTGTCTTGCCTGTGTGATCTTCCTTCGCATGCTTCTCTCTTTGGCATGTCGGCTAATATTAGGTGGTTGCGTATGAAACCGTCCATTTTTTAGCGAAAGAAGTAGAGTGATTTGATAGCAAATCGACAAACTGGTTTATTCAAAGTATTGCCCGTTGGAACAGACAACCTTGGCCCATCTTTCGGCCCAACAATCCGATTCCACGCAGGAAGAATTCGGGTTCTTTGGAAGCAATCAATCGTCCAGTTATTTTTTTTACTTTTTCACACGAGGCGAAGTGCTGTGCTGTAAGCACTGACTGCATCGACCGGAATGGAAATCAGAGGAAGCGATGTTTGGGGAATACGGTGGGGTAGGATTTTCCAGTTCACTCCTAAGTACTTCTTAGATTTAGTTAAGCAACACGCGGGCTGGCGTTGTGCTGCAAAATCAACTTGTCATGGCTATTGTTCTATTCCGGCCTCTTCTCGGGCAGAGCTCACTTCAAACGGATCAATTGCAGTCGATAACGATCTCCAGTGATGGTATTTCGCGTCCTCAAATTTTTTGGGTGGATTTCCGCGATCCTTGCTGTCCACAGAGACACTTCGGAAGCGGCGAAACCACTCTTTGCACGTTGCACTCGATGGAGCATGTTCGGCATACACCTTCCTCTAGCAAGCGATACGTTACCGCGGGCGATTTCTTTGCCAGGAAATAATGGAGCATAACTTCCCGCAAATGTGACTTAGTTGGAACAAAACTTGCCGTTGTAAACGTAATCAAAATAGACGATGTTAGCGCGTCGCACAAATGTCACTTATGGCGCGTTGTCGGGACTCTGTAAACCTGTAATAATGTCTATTGCCAGCTTTCAACTCGAAGAAATAGTGTATCTAACACCATCTTTTGCCAACGGACGGTTTCATATGCAACCACCCAAAAATTACTCATTTTCGCAATGTACATAATATATATGTATATAGTTTAAGCTCGAGGCATATTTATTTTAGCTAATATCAATGTTAATTTATTCCATCTTGTGTTAGGCTAATTAAGCTAGAGTAAATAAAGCCGAAATACTTGAGAGCAATTATTAACATAGAAAAAATAATATTAAAACGTGCCGTGTTGCAGTTAGATTTACTGAATATTAATTTTACTTGTACCAGAATTACACACAGTCAGTGGATGTATTTAATCAATTAATTTTACGACTGAAAAATATGAATAGCTAATATGTATATATATATAGGTACATATATTTTCTTTCCCCCTAGTTTGAAACGCGGACACGCGCGCGATTGAAAACATAGAAACGACAATATTATGATTAACTTGCGGTACACCCGGAGAATACATATTCCCGCGGACGTTATTTTACGAAGCCGTGCTAATTTCACCTCACGATGTATTAAATATCCACGTTTATGCCATACCAAAGCTAGGTCAATTGCGATAAGGACACTTTAATCCTTTGAGCCCGGGAATTATTCTCGCGGCGCAAACATACGTAAACGCTAAATATTTAAGATAAGCAATTCCTAATATACTCAGCTTTTATATAACGTCGCAGCAAGATCTCCAGCGCCGCTGCGCCATGGATGGTATCAGGGTTCAAAGGATTAAACGGTCATTTAGTTTTAGCCCGTCTGTCGATGCCACCAGTAAGCATAATTTGGCAATTCACCGCCGCGTTTACCGGCGCCCGTGATTTTGTAAGAATCCAGCGATAACGTGAGCCGTTCAACGGAGAAGTTGCGTTAAGCTCGCGTTGGAATTGTTATATGAGAAATAATCGCGTCTGGTTTTATTAAGTGAACTCTCTAGGCTCAAAGGATCGAGGGAGACTTGCTACTTCGCGTAAGTTTAATTTAGACTGATTTGTACAGCGGAGGGTTGCCTCCGAGCGCTTCAGTAACTTCAGTAATCGTAGCCTCGCCGATACTCTTATCGTACGCTCGACAAAAATGTTTTAAAATAGTCGAATGGAAACCCTGTTCGCCTGATTTAACGTTGGTCTAAGCTCGCTGTTCCGCCTGCGCGTTACTCGCGGATACGTAATCGTACTTCGTTGCGACGCTCGCACAGCTTAGTTTCAATTTTAGTGTGGGCCACGATGCAAGGATACCAGGTGTAACATTCCCGTGGATGGCGCACTCATGACCGATCAAAAAGTTGCCCCGAACCTTCAAACTGCAAATCGTTGCGGCTGACTGCGGCAAGAACCAATGAACAATTTGCCCCAAAAATTGGTTACATGCGCAATGCTTCACCTTGTATTTTTACATCATGGTATGGGCAGCCAGCTCCGGTTGACTGGTTCTGGTTAATCTCGTTCTTCCCTCGTTACGATCTCACCCGTAATACAAATAGAGCAGCGTTTCTCAAACTTTTTAGCCCACGACCTCTCAAAACGTCAAATTTAATCCTTTGCTACCCTTATTGCGAAAGCTAACTTAGGTAGGGTAGATCGGGGCTGTTTTGCTCAGTTGAAGAAATTCGCATAAGAAATTTTGCAAAATTATTATTTCACCACCCTCCCGATACGTTGGCGCGAGTTTGAGAAACGCTGAAATAGAGGAATGAAATTTAGTTGGAGAACTAGGAAAATTCTATTTATAACTAAACGAATTTCCATCGATTTGTCTGCCTTCTTGCTCGAGAAGAAGAAAATGGTGCTACTAAGTGGATCAGGCGTGGAAAATCGCCCGGCAGTCCGCAAGCTCTCAATTTTTCAACCTCGAAGGTCTGCCGGAGAAGGCAACGGGGAGCCACTCTGATTATTGCTTCCCCGAGCACCGCCGTAGAGCGAAACCCAAAGCAAAAGGGTCCCGAATCCCAGGGCAGCCTTTTGGTGGGCAAGTCACATAGTCGCAGAGTAATTCTCTAAACTACTCTAAAGTGTTCGCCAATGTCAGAGAGCTACCTGAAGGCTACACTATAAAGGAGAAGAAGAAGAAGGAAGAAGAAGAAGAAGAAGAAGAATCTCGGAGGTTTAGAATTCGGCGATTTAAATCGATTTCCGGCGAATCGCACGGATCGACGGCTACGTTGCTGGATGACCAGAGTTAACGCACAACGGCGATCGAGGCGCGGGCGAGCGAATTCGCGATTCCTTCAGTATTAGACGAATATAACGCGCCGACGACCAAGGGCGTTTGCAGGAGATACGCCAGATACTAAGTGTGTGACAATATATACCTCATGGTTTCTCACCGCGCAATACTAACTCGCAACTCTTTTGTAAACGTTAAGGGTCGCGCGAGCCACCGGGAGAGACGTCGCGACGCGAGAGGCCCAAGGTCGCGAATAAGGGTGCTTCCGGTCGCCGGGTAGTCGGAAACAGTTGTGTGGGCTCCACGATGCAAGTTTCAGGATCGTAAGTCGTAAGACTACGTCAATTATGATTGGTCGATTCTTATGTGTCTGACAGAATGGACAGTCGATTTTTACGACTGCGACTCTGAGACTCGCATCGTAGACCCCGCGTCACACAGTAGGGCGTCGTGCGATGGAGCCCAAACAACACGTGTCTCTAAAAGACATCTTTAAGACGTCTTTAAGGCGTCTTTTAGACATACATATCTTTACGACGTCCTTTAGACGTGCGTGCTGTATGGGAGGGAACGCGGTTCTTTCCGTATTTCGCACGGTTCGCTTTATCAGGTTCCCCGCACGTGCGATCAATCAATTGGAAAAAATGCGCGAAATATAGCGATCAATCAAATTAACGGAGCACGAAGTCCACCCACGCCTCGCCGCTCTCGTCGAACGTATCGGCGAGAATCTATTTCTCTGACCGACACCTCTTGCTCCATACACATCGTTAGTTCTCGAACGTCTCTGCGTTTATAAATTCCTTCCTACAAAAATTCATCATTTGCAGAGACAATGTTTTACGTGTGTTCTTTTTTTTTTAAATGGTCAAATGTGTTTTCAAAATAGTAAAACTTTCGGATGAAGTTGAAGCATCGCCGGGATAATTCGCGGATGCCGATTCTCGCGCAGAAGTTAAAGCAATTCTCTAATTCGATACTAGGAAGAATCTTTCTCCGAGCGTATCCCGGTTTATTCCGCTCGGCATCATTGCGTTCGCGTTTGAAATTTCCGAAGGCCGCACCGCACGTCGAGTTAATCAGACCCGCAATTACCGAGTCCGTGCGATACCGACGCCCGAACTGTGTGAGAACGACTGGCGTTAATTAACGTGCGTGCTAATCACTCTGAGCGTCTCCCGATCGTCTCGTCGACGTCGAATTGTGGGAGCCCGTTTTCGTATGTGCGCAATCACCGGATCGTAGATGCCGTAGGATCGGCACGTTTCTGAAACCGATCGCGATGTTCAGTCGAGAAACGCGAGTCGCTCATCGCAATAAGATAACCCGTGTACGACACCCGTACCATTTACTCACAGCCGAATGTATTATATTCAACGTGGCGATGATTATCACATAAGCTCTGTAAATATATATATATATATATAAATAAAATATATTTAAAAAATGATGCGTGTAAATCTCGCATCTTTCTGCGATTCCGTAGCTTTCAAGTCGCAGGTGTAAATATTTATATTCCGTTTATATACAATCTCAATTGTAAATACCCGGGAATGCTAAATTTTAAGATAGCATCGCCAAAATTTCATCCGATTCAAATCAAATCGTTGAAATAGAGCTTTTAAGTAACCATATAATTATTAGAATACTAACAAGTAAACAACGAGAGAATATTTTGACGTGGAAAATTGATCACATGTAAATTCGTTTTAAGGTAAAAAAACGTATTTAAAAACTTACTATAAAACTAATAAAATATACTTTATTTAATGTCACGATAACTGAAACACTTGGGCGAAAATCGTGGATAAATAAAACTCTTTGGCTTGAATCCAAAGATAAGGCTAATCGCATTCATTGCTAATTAAACGCTCAGTGAACGGCTGTAATACTAAATATATTTACTGGGTGTATCTTTCAACACGATTGTTCTGCTTGTGGACGGGAAATATGATTTTATAAGATTGATAAAATGTGCGATTCGTGTACGAATCGTCTAGATTCAATATTTTCTCGTGGTTCAGAGTTCGAATCTTAGAAATTCCAACTCGAATAGTTCGCACATCTCCCGGGGCTCGATTCTCGAATTCGCCCGAAGGAGAAACGTACGCGAAAATTCTGCTCTTGCAGAAAAGTTGCAAGCTTCGTTCGCATGGTTTTTGACCAATCGACCTGCCACTTTTCTGTAAGAATAGAATTTTCACATACGTGTCTCTTTCGAAGGAATTCGAGAATCGAGCCCCTGGTCCTGGAACGTTCGATTTCGGCGTCGCTCGCGTGTAAGAGCCGGTCGGCGCGGCGTCCGCCCCGCGTTGATGATGACATAAGCGAGGCAGCGCGGGATCCCCGTGTATTACAGGCCGTGCCCAACTTCGTTCAATCAAGCTAATGTTCCAATAATTCGGGGCCAACCGCTTAATGAATGAACGAATAGCCTCGACTGAGAGGTTCGATTATAAATCCGACGGCTTACGTATCATGCTGCGTATTCCGGCGCTGCCTGGCCGCGCTCTTGGCAAGGTCTGCGCAGCCCCGCAGGCCGAGGACGAGGGCGGGAGGACACGTGGGCGGTCGTGCAAAAACGTAGGTGTTGCGTGCAAAACTCGCGCGAGTTCTCTCCTCTCTCGCTTTCATTGTAAAATATTCATTGCATTGTCAGTTTTCCCGTAAAATTGATTACGTGTTGGTCTACAACCTTGCTTTAAGTAAGCTGTAAGCCTTAAGCCGTAAGAAATTAAACCAATTACAGGCATTTATTCCCCTCACTCTCGTCTGTGATTGGTTAATTTCTTACGGCTTAAGGCTTACAGCTTACTTAAAGCAAGATTGTTAGTGTTGGTCGTTGGTTGTAGACCAACACTAACAATCTCTTGCTTTAAGTAAGGCATTTATTCCCCTCACTCTTACCTGTGATAAAGTAACAGTTGAAAAGAAACCAAGAACGAATTAAGCTAATTGTAAGCTTAAAGTTAAATAACGTCGGTGAAACCGGACCGGACAATTGGTCCGAAGATACGGGATGACAAATCTTTATGTTATACAAAGATTGCATTTTTGGTCGCTTCAATCAAGCGATTGACTTGGATTTTACAGTATTCTTCTAGAACTTCTAAGAAAGTGTTAGATCAGCGAAAGAAATATAAAGTTGATAAGTTTCTATGCAAATAATAGACATTATGAAACTGTAAAACATTACTTCATGGCGAACCGCTCGCGTCGCAAAGTGCGCTTTGCGGAGCATGTATTCGTGCTGCAGGATTGCAAAACGATTGCGCTTTGTGAGAAACGCTTGGTCTTTATTTCCAATGAAGAGCAGCTCGATAAATTTCGAGGAGTGTAATCCATTGAAAAGAGTGTCTTTTAATGAGTACGGAAGCGACCTGGCTGGCGATTCTTTATTACAATATTGTAAAACACAACGTTTCGGCCAGTAACACTGGCCCTCTTCAGGTAACGAACTTACAAGAGTGCCGGCAAATGTAAGATTCGAAAATTGAACTACAGGTCAGAAATTTCGTTGTACAATGTGTCTCGTCGTCAACGTTGGAAAACGGAATGGACAGAAAAACGTGTCTCTTCGCGAACAGAGGCAGAAGGGAAGTTAACGGAACGCCGGCCGCGCCCGACGTCGACTCCTCCTCGGCGGAACGTTAACTCGAGGCTGAATCGCGAGGGCGTCGAGCGTCGGGGGTAGATTTCCGAAGAGAGACCCGCGGAAAAGTACGCTCCGCCGCGACAGTCCGTCCTCCGAAACCGATTGCATTTTCGCGAGAGACAAGCGCGCGCGCGCGCGCGCCTCGCTTTCTTCTTCCTCGAGGTCTCTCCCCGCGGGACGAGTCGAGAGGCGCCCGACGGAGCCGGCGACTTTCCACAGTGGAGAACGCGATGGAGAACGCGTGTTGGTCAACGCGCCCGCGCCTCCCCGAGTGACCACCTTCGGCGT